TGATTAATGGGGTAATTAATAAGCAATTAATGTGCTTTAGAGCATGGATATACCTTTTATCTTAGCCATCCACTCAGTACTGATCCACTTTCTCTGATGACCAGAGTTCAGGGCAACTTGGGCTGATGGAGACGATGCTTCCAGATCTCCTCCTTAATGCCACCAAGAGCAGCCCTGTGCAACTCTGCATTGACACAGCAGGGAGTCTGCTTCAGAGGGAAGGAAATGATAATATTTTTTTTTTTACACTGATGGGATTTAAAATGATTCAGTACAGCGCCCTTGACGTGTGCTCTGAAATGTCCTTATCTGGCAGCTTCTCCATTCACATCCCCAAACTCCCTGAAAGCCGGCCCATGTGCAGATACCCTGCTTGGCATCACAAATTCACATTTCCCTGACCTACAGTGTTTCTCTAGCCTCATCCTTCTGCCTCTTTGCTCTCCCAGCTCAGCCTGCATTTTTACATGCCCTCCAGCAGCCCCTGTTAGCCCAGTTCTCCACTGTGCCTGGGTGGGTTCTCTCACTTATATTAAAGTCCATCAAAGTGTTATGTTGATGTCTAGAGCTGAGCAAGAAGTGTATTTTCCACTTCGTGGCAAAATTATGGAGTTTAATTTAAATATATTTTTTTGTTCTGAAATGTCCCTGTCAAACCATTAAAAAATTGTTTACATATTTTGAGTCAATTTTGGCATTTAAAAGTGATTGGAATATAAGAGAAACTTTGAAGTGAAAAGCTGATTTAGAATGAAAATCAAAGTATTCTATGCCCTCAAAATAATGAAACATTGTGTTTTGATGTTATCAAAACACTTGGGTCTTTTTTTCATTTGGAAACAAGTACATGTTGGTATTGACATGCCCAGGTGATTTGTTTCTTTTGCAAGAAATCAACATTCTCCTGATGGAAAATCCCCAAGCAGCTCTGGTAAGAGCAGCCAAACTTTGCCTACTTGTGCAATGCCATTCTTTTCATTCCTCAGGTTCAAGGCTTGTGCTCTATGAGCAATCCCAATGGCTGATAATTAATCAGTGTATCTACTTCATAGACAGGTAGGGAATAAGATAGCAAAAAATTAATAATACTTCAGTGTTTGTGAGCAATGGGTTAGCCATAGAGGGCAACCAGGGCTTGTTGAAGCACCCAAGTATCTTAGGGGATATGAATGTTATAATGAAGTGTAAAAAAAAAAAAAAAAAAAAAAATTTAATGCAATAAAAAATGTTGACCAGGTCAAGAAGAGGCAGAAGACACCACAGCTCTGACATGACTGAGATGGGAAATCTTGCACTTTGTCATAGACTAATGAAAACATTACCAGGAATGAAAGCTCACTGGTTGCTTATAAAAAGCAGAGGAGAGGAAAACTGGATGTGTGACATTGCAAGAAACCTCATTCCCCCAAAGGCCAACACATGTGTGTCATTTGAGCTCAGTGTTTCAGGACCTGAAGCGATTTAATTTGCCTCTGTTTCTGAAGACCAGGTGCACCCCTGGGGAGCTGCCCATGTGCCGCCCCGACGGCTGCTCCCCAGCAGTCCCCATCCCTCCACAGGAGAGATGCTCACCCAGGAATTTGCTTCTCTTGAGCGCTTGGCTGAATTCGCTGTGGCTTGGACACGGTCACCAGTGTGGAACCAGGCTGGCTCAGGACCACGGTGCCAGTCTTGCACAGTATTTATTGGAGGGGCTCCTTCTTCATCGCATCCTTGTTTGCACCTTCAGCAGTGGGGGTATCCCCTTGCCCCAGGGACCTCTCCTCAAACTGCCTGCACGTGTAAATGCACCCATAATCTTTTGTTTCTCGGGCCCAGCCTGCCATGTGAATATTTTAAAGGCAGTTCTTAGCCTGCTTATCTGCCAACACAGCTTGCCTATTGTAACCAACCCCTTCATGTCATCATGTACTGCTCCTCCAATATTTGTGTCAACTGTGATCTCTGCTGGCAGCAAGCTCATGTTTTCCCTTCCACATCGCAGAGGAAAATCTCCAACAGCGCTGGGCTGAGAGCAGAGCTTTCCTTGAACCCTGCCTGAGCTCCCTGTTCCCTCCAGAGAGAGGCATTGGTGGCCTCCTCCTCCTCCTCTTCGGAGGGGTCAAGATTTCAAGTCAAGGCTCCCCTGTTCTTCTACCTCCTTGTTGTCCACCTGGCAGAATTACAGGATGCGTGCTGGGGAAATTGTTTGAGCTGTGGTCTCAGCTTGACAGCAGCGACAAGAGGGCGAATGATCTTTCTGTCAACATAGTGAAGGCCATCACATGCTATTGATTATTATTTTTTTTTTTTTTTTGTAAGAGGAACACTCCATTCAAAGCAGTGCAAAACACTGCTTTAAATATTAATGATTTCCCCTACTGCTTTCTCTCTCTGCCTTCCATGTCCTCCTGTTCTGCCGCGTGTCCCCCAGACTGCTGGACAGCTGGAGGATGTTCCCACCAAATGATTAGCAGGTTGACGACAGTGCATAAAACACTCAGCAGTGCCCCTTTAACGTGGAAGCAACTTGACTTTTATTGCTCAGTGCTGAAAGCACCTACAACCGTAGATTTAGCATCAGCCTCCAGGCTTAAGATACAGCTGTTATATTTTTCTTTCTTCCTTTATTTTTTTTTTCTCTCCTTTGCACTAATGTAATGCTTATTTAGGAACTGCAGCCATCTGTGTCTGCTATGGATGGCACTGTTAAATCTGCTATTGCTTTCTTTCCCCTGGTTTGATGAGACTCCCAGTGCATAGAATATTTCCCAGGACAGCAGAGGCTTTCTTTGATTGCTTTTTTGATAACCTTTGAAAGAGATTGTTCACAGTGCTCTTTCTCTCTGCTGGAAAAAGGTGGTCAGCCAGAGAGCGGAGGATCCTGTCTTACGTTGGGTTAATGAGGTGAGTTTATGAAGAGCTAGCCAGGAAAAAAAGTTGATGAAATTAGAGGTGGTGGCTTTATCTGCAAATAAAAAGAGAGGGAAGGAGGAAGGGCTGGGACTGGAGCCCTTCCCGTTCCTCCGAGCAGCTTGCAGTTGACGGTGAGACGCTTCACGTGGGAATTGGGACAGTTCCCGTACTCCAGGGAATTTTTTTAGTGTTTTTCAAGTGGAATAATTCTGCCTCGACAGATGGACAGGGACCTATCCCAAGTCGGCAATCTGGCCACCAGTGCACACAGCGGGAGGCTGTGGCACAGCTCCGTTCCAGCCAGGCAGAGCAAGGACGGGTGTGTGGCTTCACCATCAGGCACTTGGCTATTTTTGTCAGGCGAAGCAGAAGTTGATTTCTTCCTGTTTTCTCGCCGAGTTGCTTGCAAATGGCTCGTGTACACCCTTGTGAGGAAAGGTAAATCTTAAAAATATCTATGAAGAGAAGAAAAAATCTCTCTCAGGCAAAGACCTGTTGAGAGAGCTGGTCTAGACAGAGCCCCCAGTCCTAGAAGTTATTTACCTTTTAATCCCCCTCTCTTTGATTTTGTTTAGTGTTTTCTCTGTTATCTGCTCCTTTAAACTCTGCTTCATGGACCCATAGCTCCTCTTTGCACCCTAGGGTCTCTACCCTGATGATTGCCCTCTTAATGGGAAGGTTAATAACAAGTTTATCTGAAAATACTTTTCCATCTTACCGAGAATCATAGGGTCCAGGCATTAGGTGGTGGAGGTGCTGCTTTATAATAGAATCACAGATTGGTTTGGGTCAGAAGGGTCCTTTAAAGATTACTTAGCCCCAACCCCCCTGCCCTGGGCAGGGCCCCCTTCCCCCAGCCCAGGGTGCTCCCAGCCCCGTCCAACCTGGCCTTGAACCCTTCCAGGGAGGGGGCAGCCACAGCTGCCCTGGGCACCCTGGGCCAGCGCCTCACCCCCTGCACAGGGAAGGATTTCTGCCTTTTATCTAACCTAAATCTGTCCTCTTTCATCTTAAAACCATCCCCCCTCATCCTACCCCCACCCCCTGACCCAGAGTCCCCCCCCACCTCTCCTGTCCCCCCTTTAAGCCCTGGGAGGCCACTCGAAGGGCTCCCCAGACCCTTCTCTTCTCCAGGCTGAACCCCCCCAACTCTCTCAGCCCGGCCCCCCAGGGGAGCTGCTCCAGCCCCCCCAGCATCTCCGTGGCCTCCTCTGGCCCCGCTCGAGCAGCTCCGGGTCCTTCTGCTGTTGGGGGCCCCCGAGCTGGCCCCAGCACTGCAGGGGGGTCTCCCCAGAGCGGAGCAGAGGGGGAGAATCCCCTCCCTGGCCCTGCTGCCCCCCCTGCTCTGGCTGCAGCCCAGGGCACGGGTGGGTTCTGGGCTGCGAGCGCACGGGGCTGCCTCACAGGCATTTTCCCCCCACCAGCACCCCCAGCCCCTCTCCTTGGGGCTGCTCTCCAGCCACTCCTCAAGGGCCCAGCCTGGGTTTGTGCTGGGGATGGCCCCGACCCACGGGCAGGACCTTGCCCTTGGCTTTGTTGAACTCCATGAGGTTTGCCCGGGCCCCCCTCTCCAGCCTGCCCAGGTCCCTCGGGATGCCACCCCTGCCCTCAGCGTGTCCCCCACCACACAGCTCAGTGTCGTCGGTGAACTTGCTGAGGGTGCATCGATCCCACTGTCCATGTCGCCAACAAAGATGTTAAACAGAACCAGTTTATGGTTTATAGGGCCTGAGGAGATGGGTTGTGTCTGACCATAAACCCTTTGGCTGTTTGGATACCCAGCACCATTCCTTGGCCCCTGTCTGTACTCATCCTCCAAAGTAGGCTGTCTGTCTGCAGGCTATTTGAAATGGCCTTGCCATCTCCCAGGATGGGATGAGGCATTGTTCAAAATGATGATAACTGGCCTGGATCAAACCATGACAGGGACTGCTGCAGTCATGAGATGGTGGAGCTGGTCAAATTCCAGATGTCAGGAAAGTCAGTTTAGTTTTCTAGGATGCCTGAAGGTCCCTGTGTGCCTGCAGTCTCTGGAAGCTCATTAGCTGCTACCAAGATTTTTACTGATGCCTCTCCATCCTTCGAATCCAGGCAGCCAAGAGCACACGACCATGCTTGCATGCTCAGAACCAGGCCCTGGGATGTGCCGCCAGCATCCCGCAGAGCCCAAGGCGCGTTCGCTCCCTGAGCTGGCGGCGTGGATTAGTACCTGCAACGCTGAAGGTGCGTGCACACACCACTAACACTTGAGAGCTTTGCAATATGGTCTTTCAGCTGTCAGCATGATGAATGGATGTTATGTTTTATTTCCTGCTTTATCAAATACTAATTATGTATATGATAATTCTAAGCATCATGGTTACTTCTGGCTCATTTGTGTTTCACTCTCTAGAGACGTAACAGGGGGTATTTCTATCTCCCCACTCCCATTCTTGAAATTCTGCTTTAATTGCTTCTTTTTGGATTTTGCTTAAGGTTTCCTACTCTGAATGGGTCAGTGTATTGATCCTGCACTTTGATAAGGTCAGCAGAGATCAGCTGTGACATTTCGAAGAGATTTGCTCCTCCCCTAATGGGCTTAGTCATCAAAGTGTTTTGCAGGCGACAGGGCAGGGGAGACATTGAATTTAAACTCTTACATATGTTTATTTAGGCAGTCTTGCAAGACTCTGAATAGCGATATCACTTGAGAGACTAGAGCATCCAATGTATGGGTTATGAACTCTGTGTATGATACTGACCATTGTAAGAAAACTTCATTGAACTTCCATGCCTACAATCCACGTTACAGCAGATGCTGTCCAGGTACCTGGGTGAGGTGGCACTAACTGTTCCCAAAGGGTGCAGAAAAAGGTGATGCCCACTCCCCACTTTTGGCACATCTGCAAACCCTGAGCTGCACCACCAGTGTGGTGTCTCCAGCCGCAGCTGATCTCTGATGATTCAGAAGAAGGTTGAGGAAGAAAAAAAAAAATAACAAAACCAAAACCAAAAAAGAAATAGCAAGCAACATCTGTCTGGCCAAATGAGCCTGAAGGAGGAAAATAAATAAATGAATTCCTTCCTCATGTCTGCAGGCAACCAGCTGAGGTCTTGGGGAATGAGATTGGACTACAGCTACCAGTTTAATGAGGAGCTCCAAGGCTAGAGCAGGAGATAAAGCAGAATTTCCTGTTCTTGTCATGGCTGAGGGGAGAAGGAAGGGAGCAGGAGCATGGACCTATGCCCTGCACCATCCAGCCCCGCTCCCGCCGAGCCTGGGGTTTGGACTTTCTCCCAGGAGCTGGATTAAAGCCTAGCTGTTCAAAAATTATCTACTGCTAGGCTAACGATGTCAAATGAGGAGGATCCACACCCTTGTGAGGTCCTCCAGTGTTCGGTTTCCCTCCCTGCTGGGAAAATGAACTGTATTTTGGGATTTATCTGACCTGAACTTCCAGGCATTGAATCTTACCATGTTGTTGTCAAAAGCCTGGGAAGTCTCCTGCAACCCAGGATATTTCCATGTTTGAGAAGTCTGGACATCTCATGCTCTCTTAAGCAGCTCTTTGACAAACTGAACAAACCAAGTTATGAGTTTTTCCAGCTCTCAGCCACGTGTCTCCCTTTCAAATGGCCTCCATTTGAGATCCCTCTGGTGTCTCCCCTCCCTTTGTCGACACCAAAGGCTGGGGCACAGTTTTTGGGGGAGCAGGCAGTGGGAGAAGGCTGTTTGCATGAGCTGGTTGCACGTGGCTGAATCTTCAGCAGGGTTGACCAGCTGGTGCTGAGCCCAAACCTACAGCATCCCATGTTAACCTCACATGGTTCAGCAGGCACGCTTGCCCATAGCCCCTCAGCTAGTCCTGGAAGGGGTTGTGTTGATCTCCCCTGCCTCTGAGTGGCTCATGAGGTTGCTGAAGAAGGGATAGTTGTATTTTCTGCCCAAGGCATCCCTGCATCTCGTGGAAAAGCTCTGTAAACGCAGAGCTATAGTCTGCTTTGCACATGGGGTCTCTAAACCTCTATTTAAAAGGTTGGAGGGGGTTGTTTTTTTCATATAGAGCCATATAAATGAGGGTAAAAGAGGGGCAAAATGAGGGGTAAGAGAGGAAGCAAATGCAAATGGCCAAGGAAAACCCGCTTCCTGTCCCTGCTTGGATGAATATTCACTTACTCCATGGAAAGCATCTTTAGTCCTCACTGCAGTCAGTGCTTTCTGAGGTAATCTCTCACATTGTAAGTAGCTGTAATTTGCATTCCTGGTTCCCAGAGGTGTTACCTTGCATTTGGTTGCATCAGAAATCGTTTTTTCACAGTAATGTACCCAGGCAATGTAGACCAGGGGTGAGCAGCTTGTGGTTAAGGGACCATGTATGGCTGAACAAAGCAGCCTGCGTGTTATGTCATCCCCTTCAACCATGTATGAATGTTTATCCTCCTGAATCCATGCCTGGTCACACAGATCAAGGGACCCTCAATCAGGGGTACAATCTGTTGACACCTGCTAGGATAGGGTGACAAAAATGTATTTAGTGGCTCTATAACAGGCCATCAATCCTGCCCCTTGCATCTGATCTCATTTAGCTTACTCTATAACCTGCCCTGTTCTCATCATTACTTATTGTGTGACCTCTCTTTCGGCTGTCTGTAAATGTTCCCAGCAAAGAGTATCACTCCAGCAAATGGTGGATAAAATGCTGAATGATGTGGACAGAGAGCAGAGCATTAGGCATTGATCTAAACTGCCTGGAAGTCCCTGCCGATCCCAGAGCAAAAGCAAAAGCTTTTTGTCGATGTTTTCTGACTAAGAAGCGAGGCCATAAAGTTTTCAGGATATCCCTGGCAATAGCAGAGCAATTAAATCAGGTTCTCTTATCAGATTCTCTTTGTCTCGCTTATCTTTCCCTTCTCTTCTCCATCAGGGTAGGAAATGCCTTCTCTGAAGCATTGGTTATGCATGGATTCGATGGGCAGTTGTGGCCTTTAGCAGAGAAATCAGATATGAGGTAGCTTAAAAATTCAGATGCTTAACAAAACATCTGGCCTCCAGGTCCTCCCGAGCTCCCGTCCTGCACACTTTCATGCCTTGGGGCTCACCATCAGACTCCCCAGGATGGGAAAGATGTGTTTCTTGCCTGTCCTATGCACACAGGCTTCTTCTCCATGGAGGATTTCCAAGGTACCAGTCTCTGAAATGCTCCTGACTGCTGCTCTTCTTGAAGACATCTGTCAACCTGAGCCCACAGACAGAGGTTATGGGTAGGTCACTTATTAAAAAGTCACTTTTTAACTAACTTTTTCTCACCTCAGTCTGAATTATCTTGAGGAACAGAATAGCTTTGGGTATTCTGGCTGTGGTCCCAGCCTTAGCCCTGCAAATCCTGTGTAGCTCAGTTAAGGTAGAGCAGTGTGAGAGAGCAGAATCAAGCAGAAGCTATTCTGAGAGCTGGGATGTCACTGGACCATGCGGATGGATTAGGTCCTTGAGGACCTTCCCACATGCTCCCGTGGCACGGCGTGGGCTGCACTGGCGGTGGAGCTGCAGTAAGCAAGGTGCAGGAGGGGGCTTGACATGCCCTGGGAAGCTGGTTTGCCAAATGTGGCTTGGGGCTCAGTGTCGATGGGGCTCTTGACATCTCCCTGCCAAAAAGCATTTGTGGGCAGGCTGCTGAGATCTCCCTCCCTTCCCTTCCTTTTCTTTCACTCCACTGTTCCTGTTAAGCTCTCTTCACTGCACTCACCCTAATTGTCCCTCTCTCAGTTTATGTCCTTCAAACTCTTCCCTTTAAACACTTAGTCATCACTTAGCTAAACTACTATATACAAATATAGCTCTTTTGATCTTCCTACATAAATCAATACCTCCTGCCCTTTAATCTTTGTAGTGTCTTTCTTTGAGCTCTCTCCAATTTACTATCTGTCTTCGAAAATGAGTTGTCTTTTGGGCCTGATTCTCCACAATTTCTAATTTCCCGAAGCCCCAGTACCTGCCCACAGCAGGAATACGTGGTAGCTCCTTGCCACCTCCATTTATCTTCACATGGTGCAAAGTGTTATGCAGAGAGCATCTCTTGTCCCCTTGGACTGCTGTGGCTCTTCGCAAGCAGCCTCTGCTTGGTCTGGAGGTGAACTGTGAGGCAGCCCAAGCTCACGTTCCCAAGGCAGGTCTGACAGGACACTGCAAGCCAAGGCACAAGCCAGCTTCAATGCTGCTGTGCCATTTCAGGGTGAAGGACCGTTGTGCCACTTGGGTTATGGAACGGAATTTCTGCAGTAGCTGGGGTCTGTACAGATGAATCCCATGTCCTCTGCAACAACGCAGCACGTGTGTTACATAGATACAAGCAAGCCCAAGATGAGTGAAGGGAAATGAGCTGCAAGTACCAGCTATTTGTCCCTTCAGAGTGGGTAACGTGGGCATCCCTTCCTGAGCAAGGCAGCTAACGCTGCCTGGCTGCTGCTGGAGCATCTTCATCCGTGGTTGGTGGGGCTAGATGGCAGGCTCAGCGGGAAAGCCGGACCTGGGACACCCGTCCAAGGTGCACGTGGGGTGAGAGGCACTTGTCATCGCTGCGGCAGGGCAGGACTGCTTCTTGTCAGCTGCTTGGCTGGAGCCATGGGAGCACCAGGAGCATCCTGCTGGTGTGTGGCGGGAGGTAACCTCCTGTCTTGATTTAATGCAGGTGTCAGACACCGAGCCCAGCTCACACTTTATCCCAAGTGTTTAGCCTGTTGGATATGTTACATTTGGTAAATAAAGCTGTCAGTGAAATGGTCTTGAGCATGTGACCGTGGCTTTCGGGCAAGTATTAAAGCTCTCTATGGGGCTTGAAGAGTAATTCCTCCCCCTCTCCTTGCCCTGACTGTTACCTTCAGTTACCCTGGGACCATTCCACCCCTGGACTGGGAATGCTGGGAAAGTCATTTAAAGCCATTATGGTAAAAAGTCTTTTTTTTTTTTTTTTTTCCCCCCTTTCAAATGAAAGGTTTATAATAGCAATAAACCCCTTATTTTAGCATCTCGTTATGGATCAAATAAAAGCTGGTCAGAGCATAAGACAGAGAATCTTACCACTCTGCTCATCCCCACTGGATAAATGTAGTAGTGCTGCCACGGGCCATATAGCTTAATTAGTCACTATTCTCTGCTGTTCCTAAAAGGGGAAAAAAAAAAAAAAAAGGAAAAAACAACTTTGCAAAGCCTAGGCAGGCTGTCTGTGTCATATTTCCTGTGTTCTTAGAGGTGTTAATGAATTCATTAATCACTTAATGGCAAGGAGGGTCTTTAGAGACCAGCATCGCAATTTACCGCTCCCAGGAGGCAGACTCTCTGTCACTGAGCTAAAGTTTCAGCTCCACTAATTTGTGCCAGCAGAGCCGCTGAGCTCCTGCCTGCAGTCCTCAGAGCACACACGAACCCCCCAGCATCATGGCTACGAGGAGCATCGCAGCAACACAGAGCGATGGGGGCGTGCATTCACTGGTAAGGTCTTGCAATGAATCATGTTCTGGCTCTGAAATGTTCAGAGGCTGAAGAGGGCAAAGGAAACATCTCCTCACACTTGCAGTTGTGTTGCTTTCATTATTTTTTTTTTTTTTTTTTTTTCCACTGGGACAAGCTTCCTCAAAAACTACTGCAAAAGCTCCTCCTTGCAATAGGCTTGGGAATGCATCGTGAGCCTCAGAGGTTTCTTGCTGACTTAAAGGAAGTATAAGCTATGGCAGTGTGGCTGTATAATCTGGCCTGGGACTGCAGGCTATGCCATGAAATGAGTCTGTGAATCTTTTCTAATTGGAGAACGTCAGGGTGATGTATTTTGACTGAAACTGTCACTTTAAGATGTGGATTTGAATGTTTGCATTTCTGTTCCACAGAAAATGTTGATTATTTCAGTCTCTCGCCCTTGTTGTAAGAGAGTGACTGATGCCAAAGTTCCCTACAAAATGGCTCTTTTGGCTTATTTCTAATCACACGGCAGTTCAGGGAAAGGAGGACGTGAACAGAGCCCTCCTCTCTGCTAATTCTCTTCCACCAGCCTGTCATCACTTTGCAATTGCACCTTTTTAAAGGTTTTTTTCTCCCTGCTTTTCTCTTCTCCCATTTAACTTCTGCTCTGATTTCTCTTTCTGTTTTCCCTCTCAGTCTGTTACTTTCCCAGACTGAGAGCCAAGGGAAGCGAAGTACATAAGACAAGGGGTAGCAGGGCGGGCAGAGCCCGTGGACCATGGCTGTCCATATGCAGGCGTTTGCTCCCCATCCCTCGTGCCCTCCTGGGATTCGTTCCCCACGGTCAAGTTCTTTGCTCAACAGTTAGCGCAGGGATGCGCGAGATGAAAGGCAGGAGAGAAGCTACACATCAGAATGAGAGAAAGGAGAAAGGAGGGAGGGAAAGCAGGAATACAAAACCACTTCATCGTAGAAAACACAAAAGGAGGCAATTTCAATAAATGCCAGATGGTCAAAATTAACCAGAGACATGTAGAGCCCTACGTGTCCAACTGTTTGCTTTGGCAGGGTTCCTTCAGCTTTTTAAACGAGAGTCTCCCGGGTGCCCTCTTCTTCTCCTTGGCTTTCCTCATCCCCTTCGCTCATCGTCTGGACCCCTCTTCATACTCCACCCTTCTTCTTCTCCCTTTGGTCTCTTTCCTGGCCTCTCATCTCCTACTGCTGCCCACGAGTCACGTTGCACTTCAGATGCTGCCTTGAGTAAGAGCAAAGCTTGATCCACGCATGGGAACAAGCCTTCTTCCACCACAAAGAGATGTCCCCACTCAGAAGCGGGCTGGCTGAATGTGGGGGCTTGCTGCATGGCCAGGCAGAGGGCGTGCATCCTGCTGGGGTATCGGGATGGTACCTGCACGGGGTAGGGAGACCACTGCCAACACAACCCTGTAGCAACATTGGAGCACCCCAGCTCTGGGCTTGTCCTTCCCATCAGCATTACCTCCTTCCTCCCCAACCTGGGGGCTTGGGTCAGCCTTTATTTTTTTGTTTTGTCTGGAAAGTCAGCAGGATCCCTTGCAAGCAGAGGACCCAGCATGCGCCACTTACCCCCACGGAGTGGGGGGGACCTGGCGTTGTTAAATTTGAGCACCACCACGCTACACATTGTTCCAGACAATGCAATCAGGAGGGCCCTTGTATGCCACAGGCGGAGAGATCCAGTTAACGACGGGCTCTTTTGTGTGCTCGTGTGCTCTCTGCATTCGAAACATTTATTATTCTGAATTGCCTTCTGCACATTTTACAATAATTACGACTAGTGTTTGCCTTGTTATCTGCACAGTTGCTAACAAGAATGCCATCATTATTCCAGTCATTAGCAAAATGGATGTTGTTGTCCAGAGTTGCTGGCTGTGGGACTGTTTTCAGAAGGAGGCTCGTGCTCTCCAACCTTGCTTGCTCCATCTTTCTTCCAGGGGGATATTGTTGTTCTCAGTTGGGTTGAACCTAAGGGGGGTGAAGGGGGGATGGAGATTACATGGAGAAGAATTGGTTTGAGGGAGTGCTGGTGGGTGTCAAGATTAGCAGTGGTGATCTTAGGGAAGCTGCTAATGGCAACATCAGTAGGAATTAGAGAAAAGGCATCCATTTCCCCATGCTCCTTCTGTGTTTGGTGTGTCTTGGGTCTGTTGCTGGCAGTACAGTCTGATACCTCTCCCTTTTAGGTCCTTGTTGCTTGGACCTAAAGAAATACTTCTGCTCTGATGATGGAGATACTCGGATGAAGGGGAAAAGGCTGGAATTAAGCTGACAGTACTCAGCTGCTGTGAGTCCAGCAATGTGCATGCTGGCACCCATCTCATCAGCAGTTGGAAGCCCCAACAGAGATTCTGGACCCACTGGGACTCCTTTGATAAACCAACAAAAAAAAGACAGGTTGGATAGGTTATGTTTTTAAATTAGAGTATTTTTTTCTGTGGCCTCCCTCCCAAAATTTGGTAACCTTGAAACATTTGGAAATTCATTTAGATTTCCCTCATTTCAGGGGAGGGATACAAGAGGGAAATTGTACCACCCCCAAAAAATCCTGGCTTACCTTGATGAAAATGTTGAACTTCGTATTTCAACTCTTGCATACATTTTTCTTGAAATATTACCAAACTGTTTACAGATGCTTGGTGACCAAATGAAGCATTTTGTTTAAGTTGAGTAATAGGTTTCAATCAAACCCAAATGGTTGTTTTTCTCATTTTAGTACAAAGGATATTAAAAAAAGTGTTTCTTAATTTTCCTTCAGTTTTTGAAGTCTTGGAGG